AGGATGGCTGGTCGATTTTCAGTTCCCTGAGAGCCCTCGTAGGGCAGGAACCCTGTAGCCTAGTTCAGGGTTCTAGCCCAGTGGAAAGAGAGGGTAAAGTCAGGCAGCCACTACTCTGTGGAGCTAGGTTTTGAACCCAGGTCTGCTGACTGATCACGTCTCTGCAAACTTAGCACACTCAATAATTGTTAGTGATTATTATGATGCCGTATCCCACGCTCTCACCATTATCCCAGGCGGGCACTCAACAAGAAGGAGATCTGGGTTAGCGCCTCAGCTCTAACTTACTGGCTGTGTGGGCCTCAGTTTCCCCTTCTATAAAGTGGAGCAGCAATTCCTCTGCCTCCCTCACAGGGTTTTGTAAGGGAAGGCACTTGGTGAACTAACTTTAAAGAGGCAAGAAAATGCCAACTTGTGGACTGTGATTGGTTCATTAGGCACAGCTCCCACCCAGCATTCCATTTTTAAGGAGAACCCTACAATGTCAGGACTAGAACAGGGCAAGTCACGGAACCTCCCCGGGCCTCAGTTTCCTCATCTGTAAAGTGAGGGGGTCGAACTCCGTGGGCTGTGATGTCCCCTCTAGCTCAAGGTCTCTAGTCACAGATCTTAGAACCCTTTGTGTCAAAGACTGTCTCAGGACAGCGAAGGGCTGGGCACAGTGAGAAGAATTTTTCTCACTTTCTTGGTTCATATAATCCCCACCCAGGAAACCTGCAATGACACACACCTGGTATTCCCCGGTTTAGTGAGAACAAATCTCCCCTGTAAGCCAAAAGTTGACAATAACGTAGGAGAAAGTTTTATTAAAGGAGGTTGATCGGCCATAGATCCCAGAGGTGCGTGTAACTCCCCAGGGTGCTTTAAAGTCCTCAGGCTGACGGGGAATGCCTGCCTTCCTCCAGTGTTTCAGTGTTATCTCTTGGGCCTCAATGCACCTTCTGGAGTCATCGTCCCCTGGGTGATTGCCTAAGCTTTTGTCTCAGACCCTTTCTCCTCTGTGCCATCTTCACTGTCTACCGTTTACCAGCCTCACCCATAAGTATGCACATAAACTTCGGGTGCAAATATTTCTGGCTTTGAGTAACTGGGTAAAATAAAGGAAAAGGGAAGAACAAATAATCTACCACTACCTAAAAATGTCAGAGCCAGAAAGGAGCTTAGAACACAGGATATCAGAGCTGGGAGGGCCCTTAGAGCTCAGGATGTCAGAGCTGGGAGGGCCCTTAGAACCCAGGATGTCAGAGCTGGGAGGGCCCTTAGAACTCAGGATGTCAGAGCTGGGAGGGCCCTTAGAACACAGGATGTCAGAGCTGGGAGGGCCCTTAGAACACTGAATGGTAGAACTGGGAGGGCTTTTAGAACACTGAATAGCAGAGCTGGAAGGGCCCTTAGAACACAGGATGTCAGAGCTGAAAGAGCCCTTAGAACACAGTGTCAGAGCTGGAAGGGCCCTTAGAACTCAGGATGTCAGAGATGGGAAGGCCCTTAGAACTCAGAATGTCAGAGCTGGGAGGGCCCTTAGAACTCAGGATGTCAGAGCTGGGAGGGCCCTTAGAACACTGAATAGCAGAGCTGGAAGGACCCTTAGAACACAGGATGTCAGAGCTGAAAGGGCCCTTAGGACACAGAATGTCTGCACTAGGAGAACATGTAGTCCACCCCTTCAGGGAGGGAACAGAACATCAGAGAAGTCTAAAGACAATCATGACTGGAGGCAAGAGCAGTAGGCCCCAGGCATCCTGAATCTCCATGCAGGCCTCTGTACCCCATACTACTAGTAAAGTGTAGTGAGTAACCTGTGCATGTATTGTAATGCCGACTCTTATCTGAGACCCCTTCAGCAGCACCCCTGACGTTTCTTGCCGTGCCTGGCTCACTGTGCCATGTGCCTGGGGACTCCCCTCTGCTGGCTCTTTTCCCATTTCCTTCAGAGGTCATTGGTTCCTGTTCAGAGAATCCCTCCTTCCCTCCCTCCTGGGTTAGTGAGGGGGAGGAGGGAAGCTGCTGGCACAAGGCAAATGATCATTTCTGGCTCCAAGAGTTTCTAATGTAAGTGCTGATAACCTTTCCCAGGATGGTGCATCGACCTCTAAATATAGATCCAGATATTTGTAAAACTAATGCCTGGGCCCATGGGGCTGGGTGGAGGGGGGCAGAGACTGGATAGAGCTGGTTGTCTTACCTCGGGTCAAGGAGCAGAGCTGGGCAGAGCCAGCAGCTCTGTCCACTTGGTCTTGCTCCCCTACTGAGTCTGCCGTTGCTGGGACTGCTGGGGGCAGGGGGTGGAGGTGGGGGAAGTCCTGGCCTGGCCCAGCTCTCCAGCCTATGACACATTCCTTTGGCCCGTGGCATCATTCTCTACCCCTGCGCTAGTCCTCCTACCTATGAGGGAGATCTTGTAAATGCACTACCAGCATCACCCCGAGCCTGGCTCCAGCCACGTACCTAATGGGATCCCCGTTTCACACTTGTAAGAGCCCCACTGCCCAGAGGAGAACAGAAGGAAACTTTATGGTCTGGATGATTTTATTGGAACACAGCCATGCCCCAACAATTTAAATATTTCTGTAAATTTTTGGCTAACGAGATTAGAGGGAATTGAGCTGAACTCATCTAATCTAGATCGATCTTAGCCCAGGCTGGAGGCGGAGGAGACATGGGAACTTGGCTTCCTGGAAGAGGCTTGAGTAGAGTGGGTGGCTCAGTGGAAAGACCCCTGGATTTGGTGTCTAAGAAGTGGGTTCAGATCCCCCCCCCCACTGCTTATGACCTGTGGAACCTCTCTGGGCCTCAGTTTCCTCACCTATAAAATTAAAGTCTTGGACTAGATAACCCCTACAGTCTTCCTTCTCTAAATCGGTGATCTAATGGCCATGCCCTAGATATCCCCTTTTATCCTCTCCCAAGCTCACTCATCCTTTAATTTCAGCTCTTTCCCTCAATTCATCAAGTACCCATCGAGTGCTATGGATGCTGTGGGTGCTGAATTGAGCTATGATTCCCTGCTTCCCCATGCTGGCCTAGTGTCCCCACCCAGCTCCCTTCCTTTCCCCTCCCGTGTGCACACACACACACACACACTCTCTCTCTCTCTCTCTCTCTCTCTCTCTCTCTCTCTCTCTCTCTCTCTCTC